ATTAAGTACGTGAGTCTTTAACCAAACCAAACATTAGTGGAATCTAACTAACCAACTCTGAGTGCTGAATATTAACACAAACACACAATGAATCGTCTTTGTAATGAGATATTACATTTTAACCAAAATAAATAGCTATATCTAATATTCCCTTTATCCGATTAAGTAATAATTATGCTGTTATTTTGCAAAGTCTTTTTCATACTACAACTCTTCCTAACATGATTAGAAGTTGTTATAGAAACTATAGTTATTAATATAAGTTACAACAATTGTTAGAGTTAGTTAATATAGTAAACGGTCATCTTTTTACATTATTAGTCAAAGGTATGCGTGTAAAGTTTATTATTCCCGTCCAACCTGTCTATGATGAACAGCAGCCATCAGCTTAATGATGTATAGTGAAACAGAAAAAAAGTCAACTAGTTACTCAAATATCTTACTGGTTGTGTCATGATTTTCCAACCTTTTTCTGCACCCAGGCGAATTTTTTTATGAACCTCAGTAGTTGTTTACTTAAGAGATTTGTTATGTGTATAGCTAGGGGGGGGGGGATGTACGAAAAGCCGGAAAGAAACTGGAACTCGCTACTAAAAGAGGGTGCACCGGCCGGAACCTTAGTAGCGATTTCCAGTTCCGTTCTGGCCATAGTTCCGGCTTTTAGTACATCTCAATTTAGGTTCTATTTGCAGGCGAGGTAGCATTGTTAACTCAAGTACGCACATTCCAGTTTTGAGCTGTGACAAATTAGAGAGGAAGAGACCACATTCTACTGAAAATATCGTGCGTTACATTTATTTTTTATACTTTTCTTAATCCATAGATGGCAGTATCATAGTCATGGGCGTACAGTGTAGTTATTTGCTCAAAGCATCAATTGTATTTTCCCACTGCCTCTAATGTTTGTCATATATTTGTCTGTCCATATGTTAATGCATAGGGTAATTTACATACGAACCCTAATATATATTGCATAAATTACAGTGTAGACGGCAATTTCTTTATTCTTATATATATAAAAACGCTTTTTTTATTATTTAAACTAAAGCTTTTGAAAAGCGGGTAAACACGAGATTGGGGGAATTGGCTAGTGTCTCAGAGTGTTATGTAAGAAGTTGCCGGAAGTCGACATTTCCATTCTTATCAGTAATGTAGTTTTGAAACTGATACATAATTGTTTCTTTAGAATAAAAAGTAGCGTTGTTGTAGTATTTGTTTTTGATTTATGTGTAGAGTTTCGAAAAGGAAAGTCTATAAAACTCATATATGTAGCTTTATAAACTTACAACATATATCTAATCTTTGTATACAGTAAAATGCATAACAATAGCGAGTGTGAAACACATGTACAGGCAGAACTTGTCCTGAAACGTATTGTTGTAATTTGTTAGGAATTCACAAATATTGCTTCATCAAAAGTCTATCAAGCCATAAGGCTACGTTGTCGTACATTTATACCCTGGGTCATTGTCTATAACATATAAACAATCCAACGGTGGGAAGTACAGGAACACAGAAATATTCCTGAATGTTTGTATTGTGTATATGTCTGGATGACTCATCAATCCAAAGGATTGCATCCAAGAAAGTCACAGGTTTGCAAAATTCGGTAACACAGTCAATATTATGAATTTCGGAAAGATACATTATAAACATTAATTTTCAGTAGGAAGTTTCCAATGCTTGCATTGCTTCTTGGTAGAGATGTTTTAGGTAGGAAGTTCTATTTGGTGAGAGGAAATGTAACTTCAACTTGTCCAACATGATATCGTCAGAGTGAGATGTTACATTGTGAGAGAAAATTATTGTTTTGCGGATCTTACGTTCTAAGTTCAAAAGCCAGTCATGAAAGTATTTTGGTTTTATTCTTACATATTTCTACAAATCCCATGCTGCAAAAGAGCAGCTGATCTTAAAATTCTTAAAGCATCTAAACATTATAAGTTTTCCGATTACCTCTGTTATACCTCATATCACCATAACAGTAAGTCACTGATTGCAATATTAGCCCTCCTTTTTTCTCTACAGTTTTATCTAGTAATGCGTGGAAGGAGAGAATGGTTTCATTAAAATTGAAAATATAGGGGAGAGAAAATCAGACACAATGTCAGGAATACAATCATGAAAACATTTTTACAGTTTCTGATCAGATGTCTTCCAGTGTGACAGCGGAAAATCTACGGAAAATATAGGGGAGGGAAAATCAGACACAATGTCAGGAATACAATCATGAAAACATTTTTACAGTTCCTGATCAGATGTCTTCCGGTGTGACAGCGGTAAATCTACGGAATTACAACACTATAATCCGGATTTCGATTTCCCACGGTAGATACAGAAGATACCAAAATAAGGCTTTGCTCTAAAACAAACAAATACAAACTGATCAAACACGGACATTTTTTCCTCGAACTTTAAGCCCTTTTATTGAATATCGAGCTCAAAGTTTATATAACCAACAATGCGATGCTTTAAAGTTAGGAATGTCTAACTGTGATCCAGCATAATTGGACCAGAAAATGAAATATAGAAAGTTTAGTTAGGGAAAGATTTATTGTATTATCAATTGAGTTGGCATTATCTTCTTTGTATTGAGTATCAGCCCCTGAACTTGTTCATCATTGTTATTTCGAAGAAGCAGTCATAAATATGTTACCCATTTGATAGATTCCCGAATAATTCTACAAAAGGGAAGAGATGTTAAATGAGGGTGAGACCTCGGAGACAGCCCAGAAAAATTTCTCCCTATGTATAAACTTTCCCAAACTCGATTTAGACCTCAGCATGGACAAAAAAAGGGCCATTTGGTGAATGACCACCGAGTACCGTTGTACTTTGGATGCCAGTTCAGAGAATGGAATGTTAGCAGAATTTGTGAAAACTCAGAAATGACATTATTCGAAAAGTTATTCTCTGTGTACAGAAGCTTAATATACTTTATTTAAGTCTTTATAATGTCTGTGTATCCTATTAAAAGTTAGAATTGACTATCATCAATGAAGGTTCAATCCACAATGGAATTACCTTATGCCAATAATAAGTGTATAAGAAAAAAATTACGTTTCCCTTCTCTTAAATAAAAGAGTACATAACAAGAAAATATGAATAAATATATTTTTACAGCTAAAATGTAAAACTGTAAATAAATGTTTACATGAGACAAATATATTTCCCATTAAGAAGTACTCAGCCTACATATAAGTAAACAGACACTAATTCCAGAAAGGACGTCCTTTTATCAATTACATGGTCATGAAAAAATGGTACATAACAATCATTACTATTTATTAGATTTGTCTTTTGTAATATTTCAGAAAGAAAAATTATATATCGTTTACAAGGTCTGAAATATGGCCGTGTGATTGAATCGTACTCCTGGTGAAAAACTTGGATTAAGTTGTTCCTAGAAGGTTGTTATTTGAGATTCTTTCTCAAGTAACGTTGAAAGATGGACCACGCATGCTTGATAATGCTCATATTCAGTAAATTTCCTGGTTTGTATTTATATATCGGATTTATTTTCATATAACCTCGTGAAGATGTTCGTTTATATCATCATAAGTATCTATAGTGTATATGACATTTACAATGGGACAGTGAGTAAAATGTAACAGCATTGAATACATTGCTTGAATATTATTGTATATAAAACATATGAAATATATGAATGTGTGTAAAGTTCAAGGGTTTAAAGATTTGTACACTTGATATGTAAAAGTGTTTAAGACTAGAAAACAAATAGTTTGTCTCGAGATATGACAATCAATTGACACAATGCTCAAATAACACACACATAGTCTAAACTGAACAGAATTTAAAGGTTGGAACTTGTATTTAGGGTATATATATGTGTGTGTGTGTTTGAATAGATTGTCTACGAAGTACAAAATACAGCATTAAATGCAAATATGTATATATTTAGCCTATATAAAAGCCAGTGTGTGTCACGTCACGTCATGCTTTATTTTCTTGAAAGCCAAAATGCATTTATCCAGACAGAATAGTTCTATTACCTTATAAGTGTAGTGAGTGTTGGTATAATACGTCTAACGTAAACACATAGTGTAGGATCACCTAGCCTAGAGGCAAGTGCATAAAATTTATCTCGTAAGTGAAAATATCGATTCAATTTTAAATTTAAATCGTTTCTGAATTAAGCTATTTTCTGTTATATCACCAATGTTTTTAATAAAAACCAAACCTCATTAATCAACGGAGGCTGTAAATTAAGAAATCAACAAATATTTTTTCCAGTTTTTTTGTCTATACATTTAATTTTTTCAGTACGTAGACTGACAACAATATCAGGTTATACTTCTGTTGCTAAGCAACATAACATAAAAGCCATCGTTGGGTCGTGGTGTTATGAAAATGCACTGGCTTTTCTATATATTAGAAGTTGTTAATTTAATTAATTTTTACCAGTAAATATTCTGTGAATACGCTACGAATTCATTTCGTGAATGATCTTAATTTTGATTGGCTAACAAATAAATTTATCGACGTTTGACTGCCTCAACTGTACTTATCTGCCTCTGTTCGTCAAGCTTGATTTCACAAAATTGATTTATTTCAATTAGTAATAAAATGTGAGGTTAGAATATACTATGGGTTGGGGGTGGTAGTACTTGCCCCGTCATTGATGACGGGTTATACGCTCGAATGTATATAGTCCACACAATAACCTGCATAATTTTCCATGCAATAATTCGTTTCATTTTCAACTTTTAATACTGAATAAAATTTCGTACTCTTGTACCATGTATTTCGTAGTCCAGAATACTAAGATCTAAGCCATTACAAGCTGATGACGTAAAAATGTTAAACTTATAATGATGTCAACACCTGTTATACTCAACGAATATTTCTGTGTTCTTTAGTTTCATTTAATACGTTAGCTTTAGTTTAATAAGTTGTACATTGCAAATCTCTTTCCTTTTTGTCAAATAGACTAATAGCTTTATATGGAAGATAATTTACTAAAGCAACTTTGAAGGATATAGCACTGTAATGTACGTTTTAATGCACTTAATACATAAACAATAAAGCACTGTATAATTTCTGTTTTATGACCTTGGGAAAAATCATAATACAATATATAACGAATAATGTATTATATGACAAATACACAAAAAAAAAAGATTCTCCAACACTTTCATAGTTAATTATTGCACATACAAGTGCAGTTTTTAATTATTGAAAAGTTAACGTTTTTTGTTATGCCTTGAAATTTATCACACGTAGTTAGTAATATTTCTGAACTTAAAACCTTTGAATTATTTTATTAAAAATGAATAAAAGAGTAATACTTTTCTGACTTCAAAAAAATAAGAAACGAAAATCATTCCATCCGCCATTACCAATCAATTTCGCACGATTAAGCCAATTATCATGTGCTTCACTGGGTGGGTAATCTTCATAGAACTTGCTACCTTGAACTCCAAACAGGGTTCCTACTGAATTGAAGAACAAAAACTTGAATGTATCCCATCCTCCGCGACCAATATTAGTAGCTCGTGCGAGCCAGTTGTCTTTGTTTGAGGAAGGAGGCAATGCCTTATAGAACTGGTTACCACGCACCCCGTACAACTGTCCGTTAGGGTGGAAGAACAAAAACTTGAATCCACTCCAACCACCACTTCCAATTTCTGTTGCTCTTGCCATCCAATTATCACTAGAAGATTTAGGTGGATAAGCTTTGTAGAGTTTGTCGTTTGATACAGCATACAAGTATCCACTTGGATCAAAAAACAAGAACTGGAATTGATTCCATCCACCATTTCCGATTTTTTTTGCTCTGCCTATCCAGTTTTCATTTCCATGTGTAGGAGGAGTACCTTTATATATCTTATCGTTTAAAACACCGTACAATTCACCTTCAGGGTTGAGGAAGAGGAATTTAAAATTGCTCCAACCGCCCATTCCTATTATTGTTGCCCTTCCTAACCAGTTGTCATTTGTATTTTGAGGATGTGTGGCTTGATAAAACTTGTCATTATATACCCCATGAAGCGGAGTTTCTCCTCCTCCTAATATTCTTCCATCTTAATATAAAGTGTACAGGAGTACAAAAATAAGAATTTAAAAATCCAGATTAAAAATAATAGGAAACTGACCACAATAGTTTAATCAATCTAAAAAGTGAAGATTTAAATAATTCAAAATGACCATGAAAGAAAATTTTTGCGGCTTAGTTGGTTTCGATTTATTTATCTTTATTTATTCAGAAACTGTTTTGGAGCACGTGTTTTAAGACAGCCTAAAGCAAAATACACTTTTAAAGAATGTAGGCAGCGTTATACTATTCATCCACTTTGATTAAACCTAAGTATGTTTGTCTATTATTTACTGTTCAAATAAATCGTAACTTTCGACTACATGCTGCTGTGATTACTTATCGGGAATTTGTCTCTTCTAGAATTTTTTAAGCACTAGTTGAATATAGACATTTTCTCAATCGATTTACAAGTGAAAGATAAAGTATTCAAGATTGATTAAACCTTATTTACCCTATAATGCAAGTTTAAATATAGCAAAACAAACATACCTATTAAAAGCCCTAAGAATCCAAGGACTATCAACAAGAGTTTCATTATGTCGCTATGGGATGGACACACTTAATGATAACAACTAGATAAGGAAAACAAAAAGAAAATAATTCACCGTATTTGCAGTAAGGCAAATTAAATGAAACTATTCAATTGCTTTCTAAGTTAGTGATTTTTAAGTCATAGTACTTTTGAAAATACAAATCCAGTAATGAATATCAGTTGTATTTCGCAATTAGTTGCAAATTCTAATTTTATTGTTTTCTTTCACAAATATAACACATTTACGTTATTAAATTGAGCTATGTGGGAAAATAATCAATCAAACACATATCAATTAACTTGTTATGTTCTGAAGGTTTGAAATAACTTCTAAAACATTATAAAACAAGGTGGGCGTTTTTATAGTTGTTTGTCTAATAATTTTGTTAAAGTGACGTTTTAATGTACAGTAAAATAAATTAGAATATAAATTTGCATGTATTTTGGCATAGTCTACATTTTTCAAAGACATTGGAATAGCAGAATATTCTAGTTCATTAACTTCCAACTGGGAAGTAGTAAAAGGGATATTATATAGTATCTAAAACAAATATAAATACTTACTGTACTTATTCTCTGGAAGACAGAAAACAAACGAAATATATAATTTTTACTGATCATACATTAGGAAATTACTCAAAGTTATCATATAAATATGTAATATTTTAAAGAAAAGGCACGTTATGCCCTAATAATGGAATGGTGATGTATCTTATTAGGCTAACAGTCAGTTGCACCTAAGATGGATAAGTGATAAAACACCTGATGACACTTGGTTGTGAGACATATACCGTAATACGAAATTTAAAGGCCCGGCATGGCTAGGTGGTTAGTGCGCTTGATTCACAATCTGAGGGTTGCGAGTACGAATCCCCGTCACACGAAACATGCTCGCCCTTTCAGCCATGGGAGCGTTATAATGTGACGGTCAATCCCACTATTCTTTGGTAAAAGAGTAGCCCAAGACTTGGCAGTGGGTGGTGATGACTAGATGCCTTCCCTCTAGTCTTACACTGCTAGCCCTCGTGTAGCTTTCGCGAAATTCAAAACAAACAAACGAAATTTAAAACCTATCAAAGTAGGTTTAACAATACTTAGTCTTCTTACGTTTATTAGCTATACAAACGTAACAGCAAAGGTTATACGAGCATGAATATAAGGAGCACAAAGTTATCCTTATTTAAAAGAATTACTCACAGGGCTGGAAGAGAAATGTGTAACATCATATAGGTGCAAGAGACATTCTCAGCATTATAATCGACATTTGAATATGTGTTTAAATATGTTGTATTAAACTTGGTAATATTAATTATAATTAGTAACAAAGATTTTATAGACTTGAGACTCCAAGTCAAATGACCATAGCTGGTATAATGTCGTGGTGGAAAGGCATTTATGAAAATTACATTTTGACATTTGTTGATGTATTGAAGGGAATATGACTCCACCAAAAATGTCCCTTGTTCTTAAAAACATTGAAAACAAAACAAAATAGAGATCATCTTAGGAGACAAGGGCTACCCAGAAAGAGACCTCCAATAAGTCATACCACAGCTGTTAAACAAAGCGTAGAGTCTTGTAACAGGCTAGAATCCAGGAACACAAAGGTCGGGGAAAAAGCCACTACAACTATCAAGCAAAAGCCATACACGAGTAATATGCATCCGTACAACTTCATCAAATATCTCCTTCGGGTAGAAACATGAGTGACGTGTACAGAAGCTGCTTCCACAACATATCTATTCAAATGTCGAATACCTGAAGCCGTTAAAGAGTTAAACGGGTATTCATGATGCATCATAAGAAACAAACAGGTAAAGTTTCCGAACACGGCACTTCGGATGCTGGTAAAAATTAGGATATCTACCATATAGTACAATAGTTATATATATATATATATATATATGTCTGTGTATATGTGTATATCTTCCCTAAATGGAACAAACATAGCGTGTATGAACTGGTGATACCAAAGGTGGTTAAGATTTGTGTAATATGGCAGTTTAACTAAATTTCATACTTGATATTATAGGTTGAAGCTCAAAAATTCTTCAGCTTATTTAATTAACTTTAATACAGATAAACTGTTAAAATGGTGCGTTATTACGTAATACGTACTGACAGTATGGTCAACGATGTCTTCTGTACCTCTTCTCTTTATTTGAGTTGATTTAACTGATTCAGACATCTAGTGAGAGTGTCAGAACTGCTATCAAGTTTCGCCTTACTTTAATGAGATTATGGTACCGTAATAACTATATATACATCAAATGTTTTATTTGAGTTCTATCTAGGTTTCAAAGGAATTGATCAGGCAACATTTACGATACGTTAAAATTATATATTGTTTTACCATAGTTAGTATCGAATTACCCAGTGGCTCAAGGGCTACTAACACTAACATGCGGGGATCGATACCTGTTGCGGACTCAGCACAAATAATCCATTGTCCAGTGTTACACAAGAATAAACAAACAAACATTTGTATGGGAATGTCGGGCTCATTGTTTTAATATTTAACAAATCTTACCGTTTGACATGTCCTAGATCAAAATCTCTGTAATAGATCATAGACTTCCATGATTTTATACAAAAATGTGAAACCTTATCATTTAAAAGGGTTCCAATCATGATCACTACTGACACTTTATCTAAAATTATCATTTTGTATTAAGCAAACTTAAAGACTTAGTTTGTCGCTGTCTCTTAGCATGAAGAAGGGATATTATTCGTAATAATGATGTAAGCATCTGTTATGCTCGAACAAACTTTCCGTGTTCTGAATAGCTTAACTGAATAAATAAATTGTTAGTTAGAAATCCGATGTGGTGTTTTCTCGAATTGACCAATAGCTTTATTTGATTTAAAAAGATAATTAGTTAAAATACGTTTGAATATGTTTCGCTATATAGTAAGATATGACATATTGAAACGCATTTTTAGACTATTCAATACCTAAACAATAAAGCATTGCAGAAGTTATTTGTGTTTTATGACATGTACAAAAATGATCAAATGGTATCCAAAAGTTTAACGTATCGTATAATATGTAAACAAAATCTCAATTTCCCCTAAAGCCATATATCTAATTATTACACATGCAATTAATTTCCTAACAACTAATACAATGTTAAAATCCTGTATTCGATTCTCCTTGGTGAACAGAGCGTAAATATTTATTATGTCACATTGTGCTCAAATATGGGCATTTCTAACATGAAACAATTTATTTTTTTTTATTAAAAAGAAGTATAAAGATCGTTCCATACTTCAAATAAAAACGTTTCGCTCGTGCTAGTCAATTGTCATGTCTAATTTTCATAGAAGTATCCAACACCTATTGAAACTAAAGTTGAAATTGAGCTGAAGAATAAAATCGTGAACGTATACCATCATGAAAGATAAACAACAGCAGCTCGAGTAAATCAGACATATTTATTTCATGAAGAGGGTTTCTTTTGCAAAGATGCTCAAGGAATGTATGCATGAACCGTCCCTGATATTGAAATGATAGACTATGGGTAAGGCAACTAGCCAACACTGCCCATCACCCTTTCTTGGAATGCTCTTTAGAAACGAAAAATTGGGATTGACCATCACATGATATCGTCCCAGGACTGAAAGGGCAAGCATGTTCGAGAAGATAATTCGAACCACAGTTTGCGAGTCAGGCCGACGAAAGACAATTTTCTCTTCCTCATTTTATCTAAATACAAATTTATCAAAATAATAAAATGACGATTTTTAAGTCAATATTAGGAGTCATCGGTAACTGACCACTACATTGCGTTGACCTATAAACTAAACCTTATTCAGTGAGCTTGATACTTCTATGAAACAAAATGTTTGTTTTTGTTGTTGAGGTCAATGCTACACAATCTGTGCTGTGGTCACTGAGGGTATCGAAAACCAATTTTAGCCAGCAGGGGTCGAAACAAACAGACTTCGGTTTAGTTAATATAGAAATAATAAATAAATCGATATAAACAAAATATTAAGAAGCACTACAGAAAATTTACATTTAAGGAATGCAGCCAGTGTTCTATTGAAAGTTAGTGAAAGTTGAATAAATGTCAGGACATAAACACTTTTTTCAACTGTTAAACGTATCCCTAAATGCGATAGTTCGATTATAATAAAACAAACTTACCTGGTAAAAAGCACAAATAAATCTAAGGACTTCTAAAAAGATCTTCACGGGATCTGCGTTGAAATCTTGGCAACTTTAAAGACAATTATTTGTTGCATATAATGAATAAAAACAAACATGAAGAGAAAATAATGCAAAATCTTTACAAAAAGACAATTTAAATTAGACTTCATAAAAAACAAGTCACATTATGAAGATTAGTTATATTTCTTATTTGGTTCCAAGTTAGTATTTTTTGTTTCGCCAAACATAATTCCGTTACATTATTAAGATTTGAGAATCACGTGAAAACAATTATGTTTCTAAGAATACATAGCAAATATTTTACCATGCTCTGAAGGTTTAGAATTACTTCGAAAACAATAAATACCAAGGTGGTTGTTATTTGTAATGATTTCTCTGGGAGTTTGAGCAATTTGCATTAAGCCTAAAGACGAAGATATATTAATGAAAACAAATTCGTTTTTGAACAAGGAACTGTGATTAGGAACGTTTGTCATATGCAAACTCAAATGATTTTAATATAAGTATATTGTAAAATAAATTCAAGTATACAATTTTACATATTATTGACCGTTTTATAATTTCTTAAATGGAATTCAGACTATTGCATTAACTTCTCAATGAGAAATAGTAAAAGGGACATAATATTACGTCTAAAGGACGATATAATACTTACTGTATGTAACCTTTTCCTTCTGGAAGATTGTAAGCGCACGAAGTTATTTATAAGTTACCTTAGGAAATTACGACATACTGTTATCGTAATGGCAATGCCCTCTTCACATCCTTTAAGTAATCGATTTCTGGGAATGGGTATGCTATCCAGAAGCATGATCGTTTCACGTTAAAACCCTGGATTGACGATGTTACACATTTAGAGATACCACTCAGAAGGTTTTTTTATTCATTAGTTACTAAACACATAAATCCTCCATATTTTCTAAAAACATGACATCCAATTTATACAATTTACACTATAATGGAATGTCTAAAAAAATGTGCCATTGATATTGTAGTCTCAATTACAAACACTTACGAAGCTGAATTTGCAGCAGGCATGCCTATTTTGCAAAATAAAATATTTTCATTCATTTTACTTAGCTGTAAATACTGTAATTTATATTATATCACAATCACAAAGAATAGGTTACTATACTTTGTACATCAGTTTACGCTAATATAATAATGTTTACTTTCAACTGAATAAACTTATGTACTGAACTGAAAAGTAATTTGTATTTATTTTTTAAAGTTCATATATGGTAAAGAAAAAAATATGTCCTTTTTTATATATATAATGAAATGTATCAGCTTTTTAATGGCGATATTACGTAAAGTATGAGACAACCAGTAATATGAAATGTGGATTATTTGTTTGTTTAGAATATTCGCGTAAGCCTACACAAAGCCTTGTGTCAAGTATCTTTTCTCATTGAGTTAGCTGTCACTAATTTTGAAATGATAGAGTACAGGGAAGGCATCTTATCACCCCAGGAATGGAGAAGTGAGGTTGGAAATTTTGAAACCACCAGCCAGTCGCAGATAAAGAGGAATGTTTGTTTGTTGAATTTCGCTGTTTATAGGTTATTTGCGGTAGCTGTTTCTAATCTAGAAATGATAAACAGTGAAAGCAGCTAGTTAACATCACCCATCAGCAACTCTTGAGCTGCTCTTTACCAGCGAATATTGAGATTGACCATCACATTATAACGCTCCCATGAAAGGGGCGTTATAACGTGATAGGATTCTAACCCGTGACCCACAGATTGTAAATCAAGCGATCTAAAAAAAAGGCTATCCAGACCTCGCTAAGGAGGATTTGATATAATTTTTTTTTAACAGTTTCAAGCAGAAATTCTTATATTAGCCTAAATAATGTCACTTATTCTTTATATAGATGCCCCCCAGTGGCACTGCGGTATGTCTGCGGACTTACAACGCTAGAATCTGGGTTTCGATACAGATAGCCCATTGTGTAGCTTTGTGCTTAATTGCAAACAAACAAATTACAAACAAACTTTATATAGAGATAATATTCTCGACTTCGATTGGCAGTCAAGCACCAAATAAATCTCAAACATCTAAATGAGACTTTTTTGTATAACAGATACAATAATAGGAAGTTAATACCCATCCAAGCAGAATTAACACTAATTTATCTGATTACGTTTATCGGTTGTGTTAAAGTAAGAATAAAGCTAATTGGAAAATGGATGTAAGGAGCATAACTTTATTCTGCTAAAGAGGAATTACTCATGCGTCTGCCAAGTGAAATGTGCAGTATCATAAGGGTGAAATACACACATGGTTTCTGCAGCCAGGACAACTGTAAGATTCACAGCTTACACAGTGTTAAGCTCGAGAGTTGAAAGTATTAATGACCTTCACTTCTCGAATTAGAAGGTACAAGTATACAGTGGCTATTAGCAGAATATAAGCAGTGTCACTAGTAACGCCACTAATGTTTTAGAAGATAAAAAATATGGGCACAAATTGAAACTTACATATCTTTCATACGTGTGAATGCACGATAATTAAGTCTTAATTGGAAGAAAATAAATTATAACACGTAAAATTTATCAATGTGAAATTGTTTACTGATGTTTTATGTCTAAATAACGGAAGCAAAGTGATATATATCCACTGCTAAGCCGCGTCATCTTGGTGTTAATGGTGTAAAATGAACGTCGGTTTCTGGTCCACTAAAGCTATTTACTATACACACACACACTACTCTTTTAATTTATGTAAGTCTGTAATTGCATACAATAGTATGTGACAAGTATGTTTCCTCTATGAAACTATATGACAGCACGTTTTAGAATTAGTGTTTTATTAATTATGATAACATAAATTTCACTTAATAGAAAATATTGCTGTAGTACAGTGAATAATACCACTTTTAATCCATGGAAATGTACAGGGCCTGATCACTTTATTTAGAACGATATACAATAACATATTGGGACACATTTTTGCCCGAATAACAGTCATGATGCAACGTGGCATAGAATCTAAAAAGTGCTGAAATGTATCCTAATGTATTTTCCCCATTCAGATATTAATACTCTACGCAATTTATAGAGTGAGGTAGACAGAGAATAGTGATGGAAATTATATCTTTCAAGCGCCTCCTACAGAAATTAATTGGATTGAGATAGAGGGATTGTAGTGGCCATGGAGAATACCTGAAGTCTCTGCCATGTTCCTCACACTATACATGCACAATACTACCACAGTCCATTTGTTGCAAGCTCTTTGAGAGGTACACCTTGAAAATGGCGTGTATTTCATTGCACTAAATATCTGTCAGTTCCTGTAGTGTTTGTTGATGGTTGGACTTTAACATTTTGTCTAACTGCATTTCTTCTCTTTTATTCATTACATGTTTGTGACCACAATTCTCTCTCACAGCAGACATTATATTTTTTTACATTGTTGATAAAGTCGAATGAACGATGTCTTAGAACATTCTACCCACGAAACTGCCACGACCACTGAGGCACCTGCTAGACATGCACCTACTACATTGCCTCTTTCGAATGCTGCTGTATCTAAGCCATTCCCATATATGTTAGATTATTTCAGATTAATTTTTCCCAACCATATCATGATGCAGGAAACACCTGATACATTATGTGATCAACTAGTACGGATCTGTGGCTCATGTATGAAAGGGTACATAGTTTCTAATAAAGCTGCTAGACCCTGTATTACTACACTGAGAGATGAAACACAGTGTACTTCTGTTAATTGTGATAGTACTACATGACAAAAGGTAGATAATAACGTTTTTGGTAAACATTTTACTTATACAGTATAGGCAATAGAAATAAAAAATAAGTTAACTCTTACCATTGCTTTTGACTGGAACTGTCATGAGAGAAAAAGTCGTCAATTTTGTGAGAAGTCACTGTCCATTCTAGAACTTGATATGAATGAATATATACAGGTTATTCATATTCCAAATGAATTTTTAAGGTTACTTCTTTCTAAGGTGTATGGAAAGAACTGCTCAAAAGAGAACGTCAGTAGCCAATCCTCAAAGGTACCTGAACTGAACTATCTACTTGGGGTAGAATTTCGTTTGGTGATAATATCATGTTATAATATCTTGATTCGGTTCATATCTTATTTTTAATAAGTTAGGTCCAAGGTAAGAAAAGGAAGAACTGTGATACACAGGTGGATACAATACATGTATTGTTCCATCATTGTTGATGTACATAGTACTTATATTAAGATTGTAGTGATGGTTATTAACATCACTACAATCAGTCTTTATGATGGACACCATCAATACCCCATAAAGGAAATAAAGCATGCACCTAGAAGAAGCACAGGGAAAATTACATGTACATAATCATATTTCTTCTGCCAAAACAAATAAATGATATGCAACTTGCAAGAACTGTTTTCAGACGCTACAACACAAAGATCATAGTGAATACACAACAAAGTAATGAATGACTGGACTTAGAGAAAAAACGTTATTGCAACATCCTTTGCAAATGTGCACAATAGAGATAGCTCTGTAAAACAGATCTGTCTACAACAACTGGGTCAGAGGAGATCATACAATAGAATAATACGAAGATAATGGTGTGTAAGCCACTGAAGAGAATGCAAAAGAGAAAGTAGTATTCCAAATAGTGTTAACTATAACCCTTGAACAATTTAAATCTATCTGTATGTGTAGGCATATATTCAATATTCAGGTAAGTTTTCTGATAAACATTTTTGCAAAAGTGACATAAACTAAATTTAGTAATTAATTTTTATTTAATACAGTATGATGTTGAGGTATATCAAATGTTTGCCATCAATGAAAATGTCTTAAGTATTTTTTTATTTGGACATATGCAGTAATAAAATAGGACATTTGTCAAAAAGATCCCCAAGATCCTTTTGCTTTAGCTTCCTATTGTTCTGGGTCATTTATCAACGTTATCATCTTGTCTTCCCGAGAAAAAAGATTACTGTAAAACTGTACATAGTAAGTAAATATAGACTGTGATCTTTCTATTTGCATATAAGGTGATATTTCGAGGTAATAACCTCCTTTCTGTTTTAATGCAAATGACCTACAGTCAATTGGGTAATGTAAAATCTATGAGAAGATATAACATCCTTATTTTGTGTATATAAATTGTGTTCTCTCAATCTACAATAGAGTTTAGAGATTCTGCAGCTTCATAGAATGTTATTTCTCCAATAAAGCTTAGGCCTTCAACCAAAAACATGCAACCCACTGTTATGGTACTTAAGAATAAAAATTGTTTTATTGTAGCCAAAAATCTATTTTCTCAATCTCAGTCTGGTTGAGACAGTTTGGATTTACTTCGTAATATACTTTCTCTTACAATCTTCTATTATTTTGCAGATCCTATTTGCTCAGTGCTTGGGAGAATACAGTTCACCTCAGAATACAGCCCTATTAAACAAAGTATTCAGGATATTTTAAGCACTACATTTAGCATGATGTTTTAGTGTGTTTTCTGAGTACTTCATACAGTGAAACCTAAATTTATTCTTGACTATTTCATTAATCACTGAATTATTTAGAGATCATGAATTAAAGCAAACTATATAGCATTTATGATCTCATTCAGAACTCATTATTCGGCCAATCACAGCTTTTTCATTTTTTTGTGTTCTGTGTTTCTTAGTGTTACATCTAGAATGAAGGTGTGTTTTAGATCTTTTGTTA